GCAAACAGTGACAGTTTTACTTCTTCTTTTCCAATCTGTATTCCTTTTATTTCCTTTTCTTCTCTGATTGCCATGGCTACGACTTCCAAAACTATGTTGAATAATAGTGGTGAGACTGGACATCCTTGTCTCATTCCTGATCTTAGAGGAAATACTTTCAGTTTTTCACCATTGAGAACGATGTTTGCTGTGGGTTTGTCGTATATGGCCTTTATTATGTTGAGGTAGGTTCCCTCTATGCCCGCTTTCTGGAGAGTTTTTATCACAAATGGGTGTTGAATTTTGTCAAAAGCTTTTCAGCAGCTATTGAGATGATCATATGGTTTTTATTCTGCAGTTTTTTAATATGGTGTATCACATTGAGTGATTTGCGTATATTGAAGAATCCTTGCATCCCTGGGATAAATCCCACTTGATCGTGATGTATGATCCTTTTAATGTGTTGTTGGATTCTGTTTGCTAGTATTTTGTTGAAGATTTTTGGATCTATATTCATCAGTGATATTGGTCTGTAATTTCCTTTTTTTGTAGTATCTTTGTCTGGTTTTGGTACCAGGGTGATGGTGGCCTCATAGAATGAGTTTGGGAGTGTTCCTTCCTCTGCAGTTTTTGGAAGACTTTGAGAAGGAGGGGTGTTAGATCATCTCTAAATGTTTGATAGAATTCACCTGTGAAGCCATCTGGTCCTGGACTTTTGTTTGTTGGAAGATTTTTAATCACAGTTTCAATTTCATTACTTGTGATTGGTCTGTTCATATTTTCTGTTTCTTCCTGGTTCAGTCTTGGAAGGTTATACCTTTCTAAGAATTTGTCCATTTCTTCCAGGTTGTGCATTTTATTGGCATAGAGTTGCTTGTAGTAGTCTCTTAAGATGCTTTGTATTTCTGCAGTGTTCATTGTAACTTCTCCTTTTTCATTTCTAATTTTATTGATTTGAGTCCTCTTCCTCTTTTTCTTGATGAGTCTGGCTAATGGTTTATTAATTTTGTTTATCTTCTCAAAGATCCAGTTTTTAGTTTTATTGATCTTTGCTATTTTCTTTGTTTCTATTTCATTTATTTCTGCTCTGATTTTTATGATTTCTTTCCTTCTGCTAACATCGGGTTTTCTTTGTTCTTCTTTCTCTAGTTCCTTTAGGTGTAACATTAGATTGTTTATTTGAGATTTTTCTTGTTTCTTGAGGTAGGCTTGTATAGCTATAAACTTCCCTCTTAGAACTGTTTTTGCTGCATCCCATAGGTTTTGGATCATTGTGTTTTCGTTGTCATTTGTCTCTAGGTAATCTGATTTTCTCTTTGATTTCTTCAGTCTTCTCTTGGTTATTTAGTAATGTATTGTTTAGCCTCCATGTGTTTGTGTTTTTTCCTTGTAATTCATTTCTAATCTCATAGTGTTGTGGTCAGAAAAGATGCTTGACATGATTTCAATTTTCTTAAATTTACTGAGGCTTGATTTGTGACCCAAGATGTGATCTGTCCTGGAGAATGTTCCGTGTGCACTTGAGAAGAAAGTGTAATTTGCTGTTTTGGGATGGAATGTTCTATTAATATCAAATCTATCTGGTCTGTTGTGTCATTTAAAGCTTCTGTTTCCTTATTTATTTTCATTTTGGATGATCTGTCCATTGATGTAAGTGAGGCGTTAAAGTCCCCCACTATTATTGTTTTACTGTCAATTTCCTCTTTTAGAGCTGTTAGCAGTTGCCTTATGTATTGAGGTGCTCCTGTGTTGGGTGCATATATATTTATAATTGTTATATCTTCTTCTTGGATTGATCCCTTGATCATTATGTAGTGTCCTTCCTTGTCTTTTGTTACAGTCTTTATTTTTTATTATTATTATTTTTTTGTGGTACACGGGCCTCTCACTGTTGTGGCCTCTCCCGTTGTGGAGCACAGGTTCTGGACGCACAGGCTCAGCAGCCATGGCTCACGGGCCCAGCCGCTCCGCGGCATGTGGGATCTTCCCGGACCGGGGCGTGAACCCGTGTCCCCTGCATCGGCAGGTGGACTCTCAACCACTGCGCCACCAGGGAAGCCCAGAGTCTTTATTTTAAAGTCTGTTTTATCTGATACAAATATAGCTACTCCAGCTTTCTTTTGATTTCCATTTGCATGGAATATCTTTTTCCATCCCCTCACTTTCAGTCTGTATGTGTCCCTAGGTCTGAAGTGGGTTTCTTGTAGACAGTATATAGATGGGTCTTGTTTTTGTGTCCATTCAGCAAGCCTGTGTCTTTTGGTTGGAGCATTTAATCCATTCACATTTAAGGTAATTATTGATGTGTATGTTCCTATTACAATTTTCTTAATTGTTTTGGGTTTGTTTTTGTAGGTCCTTTTCTTCTCTTGTGTTTCCCACTTAGAGAAGTTCCTTCAGTGTTTGTTGTAAAGCTGGTTTGGTGGTGCTGAAATCTCTTAGCTTTTGCTTGCCTGTAAAGCTTTTGATTTCTCTGTTGAATCTGATTGAGATCCTTGCCGGGTAGAGTAATCTTGGTTGTAGGTTCTTCCCTTTCATCACTTTAAGTATATCATGCCACTCTCTTCTGGCTTGCAGAGTTTCTGCTGAGAAATCAGCTCTTAACATTATGGGAGTTCCCTTGTATGTTATTTGTCGTTTTTCCATTGCTGCTTTCATTAATTTTTCTTTGTCTTTAACTTTTGCCCATTTGATTACTGTGTGTCTCGGTATTTTTCTCCTTGGGTTTATCCTGTGTGGGACTCACTGCGTTTCCAGGAGTTGGGTGGCTGTTTCCTTTCCCATGTTAGGGAAGTTTTCGACTATAATCTCTTCAAATATTTTCTCAGGTCCTTTTTTCTCTCTTCTCCTTCTGGGACCCCTATAATGCGAATGTTGTTGTGTTTAATGTTGTCCTAGAGGTCTCTTAGGCTGTCTTCATTTCTTTTCATTCTTTTTCTTTATTCTGTTCCGCCGCAGTGAATTCCACCATTCTGTCTTCCAGGTGGTCACTTATCCGTTCTTATGCCTCAGTTATTCTGCTATTGATTCCTTCTAGTGTAGTTTTTGTTTCAGTTATTGTGCTGTTCATCTCTGTTTGTTTGTTCTTTAATTCTTCTAGGTCTTTGTTAAACATTTCTTGCTTCTTCTCGATCTTTGCCTCCATTCTTTTTCCGAGGTCCTGGATTATCTTCACTATCATTATTCTGAATTCTTTTTCTGGAAGGTTGCCTATCTCCACTTCATTTAGTTTTTTTTCTGTGGTTTTATCTTGTTTCTTCATCTGGTACATAACCCTCTGCCTTTTCATCTTGTCTGTCTTGCTGTGAATGTCTTTTATTCTCTTGATTGAACCAGATTTTTAGTGTCCATGAAGAATATCTAATTAAAAGATTTTCTAGCTAAAGCTGTGAATCTAGCCTTGTGGGAATACAGTGCCACATACCAAAGCTGTCTCCTTTTTCATTAATCACCATTGAGTATTCCTCTCTATCAGTAGGTTCTCAGCATCAGTAGTATATACATGTTAGTAGTCATCATAGAAGCCAGCACTTGCTGTGCATTTCAGGTACTATGCTAAGTGCTTTACATGAATTATTTCATTAATGCTCTTTACAGACCTCTAAAGGAAGTGGCATAATCCTCTTATAGATGAGGAAAAGAGTATAAAGGTTGAGTAATTTTCATGAAATCACACAACACAGGCTTGCTTCTTGTTACCAGTGGGGAGGAGTGAGAATTAGATAGTGAACCAGTAGTCTGGAACGAGATGACTGAGTTGAGTTAGAGGAACATGAGATTTGCAGCTTTCTAAAGTAATCTTCTGTGTTAATTTAGCTAAAGTAGCTGGCACCAAAGTTGGGGCATAAATTGTAGCTAAATTGGCAGACACCAAAGTTGGGGCATAGACAGAGCTGTCTTTGTAGTTCTTCCATTTGTATTTCTGAAGTGCTTTTCCATGTTCACCTAACTCTCAGTGTGTACCCAGCACGTAAGTACTAGATTCTCCCTTCTTGGGGTGACCCTTGTCTTTCCCTTTTTTCAAGATGTCTGTTCCCTACCCTCTTGGATTATCTGATGAGAGAAATTCATGCCAAGGGATTAAGTGATAAATAAATCAACCTTAGAAATGTTTTTCAGTGAAATTACTGTTTCTTTTGAGAGAGAGAAAGGAGTTGTCACAGTTTATATCCAGAATTCTAAATGTAGAAAACCTATATTGATTTTTGATACCCATGTTAGCTCTGTAAACAATGTATATGAAATTGTGTTATTTAGGATATTGTTCAGTTGCATTAACAGACAAAGGAAGAGAAAACCACACCTGAGAGGCTTAAACCAGAGAGATTTATTTCTCTCTTAGGTAAAAGTCCAAGCTGAGAGGTGGGTCAGATGGATAACGAGCTCTGTTCCACAAGGTCATTCAGATGTTTCCTTCTAATCTTAGCTTTACAGTGTTCCCCAGGGTATTACCCTCAGCTTTCTGGTTATGCAGGATCACCACCAGCACATCTGTGTCACAGGCCTGCAATAAGAGAGAAAGAGGATGGAGGGCAAGCAAGTTCCTTTCAAAGACATGACCCAGAAGTTGCACACATCACTCTTGCTCACATCCCATTTGTTGCACCTAAATCACATGGCTACAGCTAGCTGCAAATGAGTCTGGAAAAGGTGGTCTTTAGCTGGGCAGAGATGCATTGATAACTACAGGGATCTATTGCTAAAAGGGAGAAGAGGGGAGAATGAGTGTTACCCGATTATTAGTCGTCTCCACTACAGAAGTTTATCTCTAATTTTTGCAGACCTATCCCACAACCAGTTAAAAGAGTTGGTAAGGAGTAGCCATACCAATGGACTTTGTGATTATCAGGTTAGTAGCATAATAAAATATAGTAGAAGAGAATTCAGTAATGATTTTAAGTTTATTTTCAGAAACAAAGCACAAAACTGGATGTTGGAGAATTTCATGAAATAACTTCAAATTGTGTTAAAGTTTGTGGTTTTATGAGCTAATAATTATTTATTTTGTTCTTGTATTTTAGGCCTCAACTCCATATAGCATAGATTCAGATTCTTTGGGAATGGAGTGTATTATTTCGGGAAGTGCCTCTCCAACTCTGGCAATCAACACTGTGACTAACAAAGTAATTCTGTTTTTTGAACACTTTTGAAATGTCATTGAGTAATACATTTAATTTGCTTTTATAGTAACAGTAGATTTCTGTATGGTTGAGTTTAAAGATGATATAAATTGGACCAAACCATACATGGCAGTTTGAAAGCTGAATCCACAATGCTTTTAGCTTTACACAAGTTAGAAGTAAATAAATAATTCTCTGGAAAAATTGGAAGATGCTTATTGGGAAGCTCTATATTAAATCTAAATTCTTGACACTACCAATCCCATTGAATTTTTGAGTCCAGCATTTTATTGAATCAATTTGTTTCAAAATCATTGATTACCCCTCTAAATATGTGATTTAAAAAGAGATTGACAAATAACCAGGGCGTCAACAGAATCCAGTAAAATAAATAATTCAGACAAACTCAGAGTCCATTAGAATGGTGGTCAACCTCTTTCATGATATTCAAGTCTAGGTACATACCCAGAAGTGTAGTATGTGGTAGTCTGCTGCAGTATTTGTTTTGTTTTTGTTATTGAAGCAAGGGTCAGAACTTTGTGCTAACTCATTAGATACCTAGTAGGGTACAAATATCTCTTCTTTACAAGGTAATTTCTTAATGTCATATCTCAAAACCCTAAAAAGGCTCTGGGAGGTTCATGAAATAACTCAGTTCTGTGCATCTATTTCCTCCCTTACTAGACCATGATGAGCACCTTGAAGCCGTAATATTTCTCACTCTTGTACTCATACAGTCTGTCAGTCTTGCTTTTACCCTCTCCCCATCTCTCTTGCTTTCAGTTGCTCTTTTTTTTGTTTTAAATCTCCCTCTTCTACTTTCTTGTGCACACACATAAACACAAACATGTATACATACTCAGTTGCACTAATATACGTAGTATCTTTGTATTTATAAAAGGTAATGAATAAGCAGATAGAAGACAGATTATAATCAGAGTTACTAATCAGAATTCCAATTTAGATAGGAAACTGGCAACTGAGGTGTAAAGTGATAATTTTTCCCAAATAGCAATACATGGACTGATTCCATCAGAATCACTTGAGGGAGGGGTGGGGGTTGTTAGTGTGTACGTGTGTTTGGTGGTGTTAGTAATTCCCAGATTCCATTGCAGTCCTACCAAATCAGTTACTTTATCCTTGTGGGTAGGGCCCAGAAATGTGTACTATTAAGAATCATCCCTAATGATACCCAGCTAGACTTGAGAATTTCCAGTGAAATAGACGGCTTGGAATCAGAGGTATCCAGTACTGCTCTTTGCAATAGTCCAAGCAGGAGATACTGAGGCCTAAACATAGACAGTTGTGGCTATTAGGAAACAATTAAAAAGTAGTAACACAGGGACTTAGTGACTAAATAAAGGAGCTGGAGTTTTGGGACTTCTGCTTTCAGATATGATAGAATAGCTAGTATCAGATTAACCCTTCTCCCTATCTATATAAAATTACCACCCTGCCCACCAGTAAAAAAGAAAGGCATTGGAGAAAAAGACAGGCAGGACTTAAGAAGCAAAGATCTCAGAAAAAAGGGAAGCACATTGAAATAAGCCCTACATGTTTTCCCTGGGGACATTTCCCACTTCTCAGTGCATGGCATAGAGGCTGCACAGAAAGCTACAACCTGGAGCAGTAACTGAGCTAGGGATGTAAAAATGAGAGTATGAGGCTACCAAAGAGCCGGGGCTTAAGGACCAAGATCCTGAGGAATCTCAGAAGTTACCTCAACTTTTTGCAAGCAATATCCAGTTAAGGCATTTGCTGATCCCTAACCTATGTGTGCTTCAACTCAGACACAGGCAAATCATGTGGATTTTTCACTAGCCAGAATACAGCAGTCTCACAGAGGTGGAGGGGACAAAAGTTGTAGTTCTTTAAAGAGGGAGCCATGGTACACACCCCAGTTTTTCAAATTGATACTTAAGAAAGATTATGTTCTATAAGTAAGAGCAAATCAAAATAACACCAGTCTCAAACTGTTATTAGGGTGGTATGCTAATATTCCACTTGCCAAAAGAAAACTAAATCCTTTCTGGAAGATAACATAACCCGAGCTTTTGCAAGTTTTCATAAGTAAGGTCTCACTTTCAGTCAGAATTTTCAGACATTCCAAGAAACAAGACCAAATAATTAAATGCCAAGATTGAAAGATAGTATAGACATATCCCCAAGTGATCTAGATATTGATTTTTAAATAACTGTGACTAATATGTTGAAGAAAATAGATGAATTATAGAAAATTTATCAGAATTGGAATCTGTATGGAAGAATCAAGAGAACTGAAAAATATAATAACTGAAATTAAGAATTAAATAGATGGATTTAACAGCAGATTAGACACAGCAGAGGAGAGAATCAGTGAACTAGAAAATAGGTCAATAGAAAATATGCAGGTTGAAAAACAAAAGAATGGAAAATTCAGAGAATCTTAAGAGATAAATTGGATACAGGGAAAAGATCTAACAAACTTGTCATTAGTGTTCCAGAAGAGAAGCAAAAGGGAATAGAGAAGAAGCAATATTTTAATTTTCTAAGACTGATGAAAGATAACACAATACAGATTCAAGAAGTTCTGAGAGCCCCAAGAAGGACTAATTAAAAGAAAACCTTATCAGGCAAATAAAAGTCTAACTGCTAAAAAAACAAGGATTTTTTTTTATCTTAAAATCAGAGGAAAATAATAGGCAACTTCAAAGGAACACACTGAATTCTGAATAGAAATGATAAAAGTCAGATACCACCAGAATGAAATTTTTGTAGTGCTGAAAGGAAATAACTGCCAATCCAGAATTCTAAAATTAGAATTTCTATGAAAAATGAAGGTTAAGTAAATAGGCTTTTACAGAAACAAAATGTGAGAGAATAACAGTATTAAAAAATTAAAGGAGGTTAATTTTTCAGATAGAAAGAAAATTATCCTGTGCAGAAAAGAATGAAGAACACCAAAAGAGTATGTATGTCAGTAAATAAAAATATGTATAGAGTGATTAAAACAATAGCAGTGCTGTTATAGAACACAATGCTTTGGAGTCTAAAATACTTGTACAGGTTAAAGTACATGACAATACTAGAGTAAAGCATTAGGAAATATATTGCAGTTAATGTCTTTGCATTGTATGGGAAGTGGTAAAAGTACTAAGTCAAGGGCATGTGGTAAAATCTAGGGCAGTGATTCTTAACACTTCAGCATATATCAGAATAACTAGGAGGACTTGTTAAAACCCAGATTACTGGGCCCTACCCTGAGAGTTTCTGATTCTCTAGGTCTAAGTTGGGGTCTGAAAAATTGCATTTCTGACACGTTCTCAGATACTGGTCATGTACCGGTCCAAGTTCCTTACCTTATGAACCACTGCTCTAGGTTACTACAAGAATAAAAAGAATATTACCAAGTAAGGAAAAATAATAAATCCTTGGTTAATCCAAAAGTAGGCAAGAAAGGGCTTCCCTGGTGGCGCAATGGTTGAGGGTCTGCCTGCCGATGCAGGGGACACGGGTTTGTGCCCTGGTCCGGGAAGATCCCACATTGCAGCGGAGCGGCTGGGCCCCTGAGCCAAGGCTGCTGAGCCTGCGCGTCCGGAGCCTGTGCTCCGCAACGGGAGAGGCCACAACAGTGAGAGGCCCGTGTACCGCAAAAAATAAAAAATAAAAAAATAAAATAAAATAAAAAAATGTAAATCTCTTTAAAAGATAACTGTGTAAAGCAAAAATTACAAAAATGCATTGTGGGTTTATAACACATAGAAGTAAAATATATGACAGCAGTGTTGGGGCAAGGAGAGGAGAAATGAAAGTTATGAAAAAAGAAAAAGTTTAAAATTTGGGAAGGCAAAAATAAAGCCATCGTTCACAGAAGACATCATTATTCATATGGAAAATTCAAAAGAATCTACAGACAAACTCTTGGAATTAATAAGTGAATTTTACCAAGGTGTCAATATTAGATCAGTGTTGGATTTTAGAAGTCAGTTATTTTTCTGTGTATTAGTCATGGACAGTTAGAAAATACAATTTAAAAGATAATACTTACATTAGCATTCAAAAACATCAAATACAGAGACACCTCATTTTATTGTGCTTCGCTGTATTGCGCTCCCCAAATATTGGGCTTTTTACAAATTGAAGGTTTGTGGCAACCCTGTGTTGTCAGCTGATGGTTAGCATTCCTAACCAATAAAGTATTTTTAAATTAAGGTATATACATTGTTTCTGTAGACATAATGCTATTGCACCTTAATAGACTATAGTACATTGTAAACATAACTTTTATATGCACTGGGAGACCAGAAAATTCGTGTGACTTGCTTTATTTCAATACTTGCTTTATTGCAGTGGTCTGGAACCAAACCTGCAATCTCTCTGAGGTAGCTAGGATTAAATGAAAGATGAACTCTGCTCACAAAACTATAAAAAATTACTGAGAGAGAACAAAGGGTGTATAAATAACTAGATACATAAATTTCATAGAGAAGATTATTGTAAAGAAGTCAGTTTTTCCTGAGTTTATCTACAGATATAATATCCCAATCAAAATTCCACAGTGCTTTTTTTAGGGGAGGGAAGATAGTAGGAAATGACCAGCTGATTTTGAAAGATAAATGAGACTCCAAATGGTAAACAGTAGTTGAAGAAAATGTTGAAGAAAAAGATAAAAGTTAGAGGATTTATACTTCCAAATATCAAGAGTAAACCTACAATAATTGAAAGTGTAATATTAGCATAAGAATAGACACATAGAATTATGGAACAGAGTTCAGTGATGTCTTTCAACAAATGGTGCTGAATCAATAGAAAAGTGAGATTTTTTTCATGCACAAAAATCAATTTCAGATGGATTTGAGACCTTAATATAAATGATAAAGTTCTCAGTTGGATGAAAAAGAATATGTTTTAAAAAGTGGAATGAAGAAAGTAATAAAAGATTAAGAGCCGATGCTAACGCAACACACAACAAAGCTTTACGTAATCCTTTAGCTAAATTTACTGCAAAAGGACAGAGAAGGATATATATACGTTGTATGAAACCAGTCATTAATTGTAGAAGTCTGTATGTGGTTACCTGTAACAGGAGATATGTGGATGGATAATGACTGGCTGGTGAATGATGATTGGGAGAGTTCATGAGTGGGCCTTCTGGTGTGCAGGTATGTTCTGTATCAGTGGTTCTGTGATCTGTGGACACTTGAGTAACCAGTACCCTTTTGGGGATTCCATGATAATACTAAAATGCTATTTGCCTTTTCCTTTATTTTTGTGTTTTCACAGATGCAGCAAAAGCAATAATACGTAAACATTAGCACAAGTCAAGGCAGTGACACCTGACTGTACTAGTAGTCATTGTATTCTTCACAACCACACACCCTTCAGATTAAAAAAAAAAATACTAGTTAAGAATATCCTTGGTGATGCAGGAAAAATAATTTTATTAAATTGTGACCTTTGAGTAAACATTTTTAAGAATCTGTGTGGTGAAATGGGAAGTACGCATAAAACACTTAAACTGTGTATACCGAGGTACAATGGTTGCTTCAAGGAAGAGCATTTGTGTTGAACTAGCCACTTTGTTCATGGGGCATTGATTTTACTTGAAAGAACAACAGACACTATTATTCAGATTTGGGTATTTGGCAGATATTTTCTTGAAAATGAATAAAATAAGCCTCTCACTTAAAGGAAAACAATTGACAGTATCTCTTGCCAATGGTAAAATTTGAGCTTTTAAGCAAAACATACAGGTTCGGAAAACTTATATCCACCACAGTGAGTCTGATAGCTTCACAGTCTTTACACACTTTTCCAATGAGATTATTGGTAATGTTAACAAGTGTGATGTTTTGATGTTGTGTAATGAAATATGTCAATATTTGGAAGATCTGCATAACTTAGTGAATGATATTTTCCAAATGACCAATGCATAATGTTATAAAATCATGCATGGGTAAATGATCCATTCAAAGTCCGAGATGGAAAGTGGATTATAATGTAAAAGAGTATGAAAATTTTATTCATATGGTTTCAGATTTTACATTGCAACTAATCTTTAAAATATTGTCACTTGTCATATTTCTGTGTAGTATCAAAAAAGACTATCCACAGTTATCTGAAAAGTCTGTTAAAATATGCTTCCTTTTTCCAAACACACACACACATATATATGTATATATGATGCTGGGTTTTCTTTCTATACTTCCACCTAAACAACATATTGCAACAGATGGAATGCAGAAGCAGATATAAGAATCCAGCTGTTTCCTGTTAAGGCAGGCTTTGAAATTTACAAAAATGTAAAACAGTGGCACCCTTCTAACTTTACTTATTGAGAGAAAATTTTTTTTTGTTGACATATAGTTCTGTTTGTAATAGTTATTTTTAGGTTAGTATTTAAAATTTTTTAATTTCTAATATGCCAGTTATTGATAAATATATCAAACAAAAGCTTCTTGACTCCTTAATATTTAAGACTGCAAAAGGGTTCTAAGATCAAAGTTTTGAGAATTGCTATTGATTACATGATTCCATGAGTATGCCCATTTTATAATTAATAAACTATAACAACTCGTGTATTTTCCTCTCCATAATATGTTACATTTTAATAAAAATCTTATCCTCCTTAGCTATGAGGATTTGTCCAAGATGGTGGGAAGTATTTCTGACTTGACTGATAGGTAACTAATAGGTACTGATAGGTAACTGATAGGTAACTTAGTTACTGATAGGTAACTAAGCAGCCAGCAGAATGACCATGGGATGCTTCTAATTTGCTGATATTGTATTGCTTAAGAACCCATAAAGGGCTTCCCTGGTGGCGCAGTGGTTGAGAGTCTGCCTGCCGATGCAGGGGACACGGGTTCGAGCCCTGGTCTGGGAAGATCCCACATGCCGCGGAGCAACTGGGCCCGTGAGCCACAACTACTGAGCCTGCGCGTCTGGAGCCTGTGCTCTGCAACAAGAGAGGCCGCGACAGTGAGAGTCCCGCGCACCGCGATGAAGAGTGGCCCCCACTTGCCACAACTAGAGAAAGCCCTCGCACAGAAACGAAGACCCAACACAGCCAAAAATAAATAAATAAATAAATTTATTAAAAAAAAAAAAAAAAAAGAACCCATAAGGTTGAGTTTTTTAAAAAATGAAATTTACACTGGAAATATTGACCAGAAAAATCTTTGCCATAGTTTTATTTTCTCTCATTTTTCCTTATACTCTTTTCCCTTATTAGTTCCTAGACACATAATTGTTCCTAGCTGATGTGAATGTGAGACAGTTTGGTTTTGCCTTGAGTATTGAGGCATATATGCCTAGTTTTCCAGGTTTTAGCCTCTTTTGGCAAATGAGCATTGAGCATGACCCCATTTTCAGCACAGACAGAAGGGTGTTAATAGCTCAATTGGTTATTAAATTCAGCAAGTATTTTTTATGTGTATACTGAGTAGAAAACATTACGCTGCTTATGATTATTTATTGGGGAACTCAAGTTGCTAACAGTCTAGTAGTGGATAAAAATTAGATAAAAATTAGTTACACCATAAAATCAAAAGTATTAATTTTTCCCATGAAAGTAGGAGCATAGAAAGGAAAATTGGTAGTAGCATCTGAATGGAACTTTAAAGGATATTTAGACTAGTTCTCTGTTTTAAAAATATCTTTTTTGTTGTTGTTTCTAATTAAAAATGGTAATGCACATTATAAACATACTCAAGCATTGTACAAATATACACTGTCAGTGACAGAAGTCTTCAGGAATACCCAGCCCCCTGCCAGTTAACCATTGTTAACAGTTTGATACATAGTTCTTTCATGTCTAATGCATATGTTAGCATATTATTGTTATTTTAAAAATCAGATCACATATTTGTGATTCTGCAATTGTGTTGGGCAGTTTACAGTTTTCAATATTATAAACACTATGTTGCCTAAATTCTATTTTTTGTGTTCTTTTTTTTTGATGCCTAAGATTTTGAAAGAAGAAAACTGATTTTGCTTAAAGCTTGAGTAAAAATAAGTTTATGCATTATAGAAATATTTAACAGTAAAAATCTGTTATAATCCCCTCTTATTAAATGTCGATGAACTAATTATACCTTTTAGAAAATTGAATTTATGTACCTCTGGATGGGATATATCCTTTATTTTGAAAGTAAATTATCAATATTTCATGGTGAACATGGAGTGAGCGGTGTAGAGCATGGATTTGGGGTAGGTAAACACCAAAGGAAAGACCAATAACATTTTGTTTTCCTTCCATCTACTAGGTTAGTTGTATTCTTGTAGAGTTGCTTAAAAAGTACTTTTTATAGTAGGAACTACTTATTCAAATGTTGCTGTTCTTTTCCTTGTAGGTAACATTGTACAACACTGATCAGGATGGTAGTGATAGCCCACGCAGTAGCCTTAACAACAGTCTCTCAGATCAGAGTTTGGCATCTGTTAATTTGAACAGTGTTGGAAGTGTGCATAGTTACACACCGGTAAGTCTTGGTGAAGTTAACTCCTTTGTTGAGTACTCATTTAGAGCTTAAAATGGAACCAAACGTAATTGAAATACAAATAAAAAGTGAAGATGTATATTTCTCCTGATCAAATTGATCATTAGCTTAGATAAGTAGAGCAGATTTCTATTATATTCTAGCAAGTTAGATACAAATGTGTTGTTGTACTATGTTATATATTTTGGTCTACTTCATCTGTTCTCTGTCCAAGTGAAACACAATTGGAATATGGAAAGAATTTTTACTTTAGTCTTCTAAAGCTGTGTTTAATGATATTTTACAGTCCTTGGTAAAAGAGCTTAGAGGATATGTATATCACCTAGTTTCCCAGAAGCAGATCTAAGAAGGGGATTCTACAAACCGCAGAGGTTAGGATGACCTGGTACTCAGTTGTTAACCAGTCTTGTATTTTCAGTTTGGGTCTGGAAAACAAAGCTATGCTATAAAGGGACCTGTGTGAGTGTTTTTGCTCCTGTGCTGACCCTTCCCTTATCTGATAATTCTTTTCAAATCATCTTGCAACTGTTCTCCCGGGTAGACAGAACAGAGCCCGAGAGAGCCATACACCACACTGTTCATGGTATAAATTTGATCTCATCAGATCGCTCCCTGTTCCAAGATGAATAATAGGTAAAAACTTTACACAGAAAAAAGATATAAGGGGGATGGGGGACCTGAAATAAGAAAATAACACGAGGGAAACAGAAATTCAGAGAGCAGTTTTAAAACTCACCTTGAATGTAGGAGAAAGAAGACAACGCAAAACTGTTAACAGTGCTCTGGGGGAAAAATTTTTTATATTTTTCGAGAATGCAGAAGAAACAGTTAAAGGAATACCAGTTATGTAAAAGAATATGGAGACTTGCGAATTATAGGTGTCCCCAAATAGTTGGTACAGAAGCAGTTTTCAGAAGAAATAGAGAACAAAAGGGTTACTGAGTTCTAAGAAAAGTTAATGGGAAAAAAACTATATCTAGACACATCATGACAAATTTTTAAATTTCAAAAGTAATCATAGATACTCTAGCAGAAGAAATAAGGTACATTCAGAGAAACACAAATCATACCTCTCTTCCATAATACTAAATGCCAGAAAATGATGGAACACTTTATACAGAGTGTCAAGGGAATAGATTTGGAATTATAAATATTATGCCCACCAAATTTTCATTCAGTTGTGAAGTCAAGAAAAAGACATTAATTCTTTGGTACACAGAGTTTAGAAAGCATCCTACCCTTGTTTTCATGCACCCTTCCTGAAAAACATTACATATTTAGCTGATCAGGTGGTGAATTAAAGTACTTAGTAATGATGAAGTCATGTGCCAGTGGTGGAGCCATTCCCCTACACAAAGCTCATATTTTTCCACGTCATTGTAGACTCCTTGTGAGCATCATTTTGAAAGGCTGCATAAATTTATAGCCAGTGTTCATATCTTAATTTTTTCAAAACACTAAACCAAATGGTAGTTTGTTACTGCTTGGTATGATCTTTAAGATATATTGCTGATCATGTTTTATTTTATTTCTAGTTGTGCTGTCTTCAGAGATAATTCTTATTTTTTAGGTGTTCATGGTGCTCTTTTTCCTTGCATAGCTCGAGGCCCTGATCTATTCTGTTTTTCTCAGAATCTCCTTTGTCTTTTACCCTTCATTTCTTATTTTCCTTAAGTTTCATTTAAAAAAGAAAAATTTACCTACAGTGAAGAGTTAGGTGTGTTGAAGTTCCTTGCTGCTTTGGGCAGTGCCATACAACCTGACTCACAGTATTTGAGTTTAAATACTTAAAGATTAATTGAATAAATGAATGAGAAATGTTAGTAGTTTCAGAGTATAGTGAGTTTGAGATGAAATTGCTTCTGTGGAAATCAAGATGAAGACTCCACAGAAACTGGAAGGGTTCCAAGCTTAGCTTATCACTTATTATGACCTTGGGAAGGTCCTTTAACTTGGAATTCTTCCCCCCTACTGTGAAATGTGGAGGTTGGATTAGATTTCTGAGATTCTTCAAGACCTAAGTTAACGATTGGAAAGCCAGACAGGGAAGTTAATTCCTTTGGATTCTAATAACTGTTCTGATATTTCCAGTTTTATATCATATCTAATAAACCAATTCTGATATAGAGCTACTAAATTAGTAGTTTTTTTCTTTTAATGTTAGGTGACAAATCATCCAGAACCAGTCTCTCAGTCATTAACTCCTCAACAACAGCCACAGTACAACCTTCCAGACCGAGACAAACAACTACTTTTCTCAGAATATAATTTTGAAGATCTCAGTGCCTCATTTCGGAGCCTTTATAAGTCAGTTTTTGAGCAGTCACTTAGTCAACAAGGTGAGTTTTTTAATACCTGTTCTGTAATTTTTTATTGAAATTTTTTAAAGAATTATTTTCACATTGCAGCTGTTATAGTTCCTTAATCTTAGAACATTACCATCATGATAAGGATTGAAGGTTCTTTGTGCCTTTACTATAGTCTGTATATATTTTTATCATAGCACAAGAATGGCAGATAAATCTATCTCTTCATGCATGCCTACTTCGTTTGATTACTAGTGGTGTCCTGAAGCATTGTGTTAAAGGATTCTGATACTGCATTTATGCCATGTGGGAAAGACTGCCATGATTAATTAGTGATGTCTAGCATGTCAAGTGTTTGAGTGGTAAATGTTGCACCACAAGAACAGATGTGCCTTGCTTTTTGTTCTGACTGCTGTTAGCAAAGAGATAACTTTTGGAATATGGTAGCACCAAATTTGCAATTTCATGTATGGCACTTATAAGTGAACACATTGGTTAGTGGTTATTATTTTGTACAACATACTTAAGTCAGATTTAACACTAAAAGTGATACTGGTTGAGATGTACTATTATCTCAACCAAATGCTAGATTGTTGCTATTATGTATTACTGTCCTATTAGCTGCTGGTTTAATTTTTTTTGTTTTTGTTTGTTTTGTGGTACATGGGCCTCTCACTGTTGTGGCCTCTCCCGTTGCGGAGCACAGGCTCCAGACGTGCAGGCTCAGCGGCCATGGCTCACGGGCCTACCCGCTCCACGGCATGCGGGATCTTCCCGGACCGGGGCACGAACCTGTGTCCCCTGCATTGGCAGGCGGACTTTCAACCACTGCGCCACCAGGGAAGCCCTCCCCTGCTGGTTTAATTTTAATCAGAGTCATTTAATAGGATCAAGGTGTCTTGTTCCACCATAGAACAAACACTAGTCAGAAATTGTTGGGAACTCAAACATTGAAGCATTGCTTTGTTTGGCAGATTGACTACTTATACCCCAACTCAGAGGGTTTACCTCACGGCAGTAGACAAAATAGACAAAAATCCCTGCCTTTAAAGAGTTTACATTTTAATACACATCATTGTCAGATATTATGAAAGTTAATGTTATATGTAAGTGTTATATATATTGATGAATATCAGTAGTTTGTTTAGGAAGTTGGTTTTCTGGTTAAAGTGTCATGTATTTTCTCAAATTTTATATTAAATTTTCTATAAAAGTACAAAAAAATAGAACTAAGACTTTGCTAAGCAGATCCAGCTTTGCTGATCATAGTAGAAAAATACTTGCTTTGAAATAACAATGGCGACAGTTTCTGAAACCCATAATGCTATTTCATTACACTAATAAAAAAAGAAAAGAATATCGATAGGAATTCTGGGTTCTAGTCCAGGTTCTACCATCAAGTCAACTGAGTTAACTTCACCTCTTTAGACCTAAGCGTTCCCATTGTACAGTGAAGATTAGACTAGATCAGTGCTTTCCAAATTGTTCTCTTTGGAACTGTTGGGTTTTCTGGAGGTTTCAGAGAGAAGGGTGCAGATGAAGAGGGAGACCTAACAGGTTTCTTTTCATGGGTTCCCAGAAAACAACTTTACATTTATTAGTTTTACATACTGGGCTTCTGAAAGACGTTTTGTTTTATTTTAAAAACAATTTGGGATTAAAAATGTTGGTAGAGGGCTTCCCTGGTGGTGCAGTGGTTGAGAGTCCGCCTGCCAATGCAGGGGACATTGGTTCGTGCCCTTGTCCAGGAAGATCCCACATGCCGCGGAGCAGCTGGGCCCGTGAGCCATGGCTGCTGAGCCTGCGTGTCCGGAGCCTGTGCTCCGCAACGGGAGAGGCCGCAACAGTGAGAGGCCCGCGTACTGAAAAAAAAAAAAAAAAATGTTGGTAGAGATTATATCTGGGTGCCCTCTTAAAATGTTAGGACTTTATTGGAAATAGATAATGAAATAACTGCTTTCTTTCATCTTATTGTAGTAACCCTGTAGATTCCCTGTAAATGACATTTTTCCCAGGGTTAAGGCAAGCACTTTTATTAACACTTCTACCTATAAAACCTTAATTTATTATGTTTTGAGATTATCTTATAATGTACTCTGATATAATTTTACTCCTAATAACAAGTATGAGAATACTTTTATTTTTGTTTAAAATTTTTGATTCTTTTATTGACTGACAGTATGGTATGGGACTTTATTTTCATTTCATTTAAGCAAAACTTTTTTGTGTTTGGTTCAGCAAAACATTATATGTTATCTTCTGGGATATGAAAATAGTGTAGTTATATAGAACCACATGTTGCAATAAGGTTTGTTAAAGTGAGTGCCTACCTGCAAACCAAACATACATTATTTTTAACATTAAGCACTTCTGGCCTAATCATCATTATCATCATAGCGGCTAATATTTACTGAGCTAAGCCTACAGCCTGCGCTTGTACCATGGCATGTAATCAACAACTCTACGAAGCAGGTACTATTATCATACCCATTTATAATCGAGGTAATTATGGCTTGGAGAGGTTAATAATTCTCCAGAGTTACCAAGTGTGTAAATTATAGTGCAGAGATTTTAATTCCTCTTTTCTGGTGTTAAGAAATATGTAATCTTAACCCCTAAACTGTGTCTGTCTCAAGAATGTTCCATAAAAGTAATGAAAAAGAGCAGTGGAGATGTTTTGCTTAATCTTAAGGATTCTAGCCATCTTGGACTTAAAGTTTTTGGAGTAGTCAGAGAAAGAGATCAGAAATAACTGGGCGTTATTTCTACCCTCCTCTTTTGTCAAAGGTCTTCAGGCCTATAGAGAACCATCCTCAATGTGACCCAACACCTCTCCCACTTCTCCCTTAACATTTTACTCATCTTTCAAGACTCAAGCCAGATATTGCCTTTTCAAGGAAGGCTTCTCTGTATTCAGAGCCCCTTCCTAGGTAAAACGGGGAAGAAGCAGAGTTCCTGTATTCCCTCTGTATACTTTTGCCTTAGTATTTACAGTGTTGGACGTAATCTCCTCAAGTGTCTGTCTCTTCCACTGGACCATGAGCTACTTGAGGGCAGAGGATGATGTTTTTTTCTTGGTAGCCCCAGAGCCCAGGGTATGGTGGATACTCTATCAGTACTTGCTAAACTGAACCAAAATTGCTTCCTGACAGCTTATACCTTTGCTCTGTAAATAATTTTGCAAATGTTTGTCATAAGGTATAACTGAAATCTGACCATCAGTGATCTTGCTTTGTCTGTTTTCAGGTTTGATGAACATCCCTTCTGAATCTTCCCAGCAGTCCCACACTTCTTGTTCCTATCAGCACTCTCCTGGCAGTACAGTGAGCTCTCACCCACACAGCAACCAAAGCAGCCTGACCAACAATCATGGCAGTGGCCTCAACACCACAGGCAGTAATTCGGTTGCACAGGTCTCACTGTCCCACCCCCAGATGCACACACAGCCGTCTCCACATCCGTCCCATCGACCGCATGGTTTACCACAGCATCCACAGCGTCCCCAGCATCCAGCACCACACCCGCAGCAACACAGCCAGCTCCAGTCCCCTCACCCCCAGCATCCCTCTCCACACCAGCACGTACAGCACCATCCGAACCATCAGCACCAGACGTTAACACATCAGGCACCCCCTCCCCCACAACAGGTATCCTGTAATTCTGGTAAGTTTTTGTCTTCTGACGTGTGTTTGGCTAACTGTGAATTTGGATCTGTTATCTGGGGCTTATATATATTTTCTACCAGTACTCTTCTTATCCATCTTCTTTTGTGTTTCCTTGCCATAGTCCTAGAGTTGTTAAGTCCTTCAGTCTATAGATTCACCTTTTTTTTTTTCTGTACGCGTGCCTCTCACTGTTGTGGCCCTCCCGTTGCGGAGCATGGGCTCTGGACGCGCAGGCTCAGTGGCCATGGCTCACGGGCCCAGCTGCTCTGTGGCATGTGGGATCCTCCCGGACCGGGGCACGAACCCGCGTCCCCTGCATCGGCAGGCGGACTCTCAACCACTGTGCACCAGGGAAGCCCCTGGTTATTGTCTTGATTACAATTTATGTGGTAACATAGGCAAACTCAGCAACCCCTGCAGGTTTTGGTTTTAACTCTTTTGTCCTTCTGGAAAACAAGTGTTTTCGTGAGCGTTTGAAAGAAGAGTGGAATGCACAGTCTGTCTGCGATCTATTGTGATTTAGTGTGGTATAGAAGAAAGAGTATAGATTTATGTCTGAAAGACCTGTATTCGAATACTCATTATGGCTTTTTATGACCTTTGGTGCATTAACTCTTTTGGTCTTATTATTTTGTTAGCTGTAGAACAACACTGGTGTACAGTGTTGTTATGAAGATCATATTGAGGATACAAAATATGAAATGCCCGGTCTAGTACCTTGCATTTACATATTCAGTGAATGTTCCCACTTTTTCTTCCTTTGCATATTCCTGCCAAGTATTTCATTTAGAATGATAGATTCATACCCTGATTTTAAAAGAAAAAAAAATGTCTGTTGCTCTTAAGATAGGTCTTGATGGTTTCTGGTGAGGTGCTTAACTGATATTGCTCACAGACCAGGCAGTCTCTGCACTGCAGAACTCCAGAGGGTACCACAGACATAGACTACAAGGTGAATGGGGCCTCTTGGAATGGTGCGGAGTACAGCTGGGTTCAAGTCTTGGATTCATCGTAGTGGCCTTGCTAAGTCATGCCTCCTCTCTAGGTTCAATTTCTTTTGTTTGTAAAATGCAGGGAGATAATACCTTTCCTGCCTGTCTCACAGAGCAGATTGCCCCAATGCATGATATAATGGGTTTGAATCCATTTGTAAAACTGAATAGGGATCGGCCAATATCAGGAGTAAGGCCAGCTCAAACTTCCGCTATCCAAGATTTATAAGACTGCCGATATTATTTTTATAGGTGTTTCAAATGATTGGTATGCAACACTTGATATGCTAAAAGAAAGCTGTCGAATCGCCAGCAGTGTTAATTGGTCAGATGTAGACCTTTCACAGTTCCAAGGTGAGTATTGGTTCCTTCTGACTTATAACCAAATACACATATCATGTGTTTTTGAATAGATTTTAAGTCTCTTTTTAGTGGAAATAAGTATCTCCTTATATAGTGTTTCTTTTGCAGTTGGTAGTATGCTTAAAAACAACACTTTGCAAAATTCATAATGAAGCCTTTCAGCCAGTTGATGTAGTGGAGGTTCATAGACGAGTTCTGAAGGAAATTTGGCCACATTTAAAAGAATCAGATTTTGAATAATTTTTAAAATGTCATTCTTCATTGCATGGGCAGAAGATTACCAGTGGAAATTTTGAGGGCTGGAAAAAAGAAGTGCTATTTTCTTTGCAGTGTTTGCAGAACCATGCTAACTGTATTTCTAATGCTTTCCTCATAGGTTTGATGGAGAGTATGAGACAGGCAGATCTCAAGAACTGGTCTTTAGATCAGGTTCAATTTGCTGATCTCTGTTCTTCTCTTAATCAGTTCTTTACACAAACTGGCCTTATCCACTCACAGAGTAATGTTCAGCAGAATGTCTGTCATGGTGCCATGCATCCAACAAAACCTTCCCAACACATTGGAACAGGTATGGATTTAATTATCTTCTTGATTTTCTCTTTTTCTCATTCATATGAAATTCAATAACTGTCTGGGGCAACTTGATATGTTGTTAATGATAGCAGTGATCCATTTATATCTTTTTATTTCTAAGGAATGAAATCAAGTAATTTAAGATATATCTTAGAAAAATTGAGATAAAAGAGACTGTATATTTTTCTGTCATGATTTACATGATTATTTTATTGTTTATAATTGGCTTTCCTTTGTGAACTTTAACCTTTCAAGTTACCGAACAAGAATTAAATGTCTTAAAGATATGTACATTTTAATTTTAATAAGAACATAGTTATGAGGTGTTACCAATTTAAATTTATATAGACTTGCAATGAAAATCAACATATCTTTATATATCTTCTAAGAATGTTAAAAAAAATTAAAGTTCAGAGTGTATGTGAAGAGTATACATAACGGTAGTCTCATTTATGTTTTACTCTGAACTCAAAATTTGTGCTTTGTATTTTTTCATCTCACTTTCTTCCTTTATTTTTTACCCTTGTAGCCATCTCATTTACTCTGATTGCAGAGTCTACAGTTTTCTCAAGTTTACATTCTGTGTTTAATATCCAAGTTCTTTCTCTCTTCATTTTAATTTCTTGATGCCTTTATCTCCAAGTTGACTTCTTTTCTGTACATTGTCTTGTTTTTAGAGTTGATGCTAAAAAGCTCTCTTTTCTATCCTGAGTGGCTTCCTTCAGTCATTATCCTAAATTATTTCACATACTTGGTCTTTCTAAGTTCTCAAGATCCCTAGTCCTTTTTGTGAAATCTCCATTTGTTTCTTTTCATACAAAAGAAACCTTCCATCTTTGCTTCTTCCACTTGAATAGCTTACCTAACTTGAAAATCTCAGTGGTTGTGTGATTTTGGTGACTTATTCATTTCATAAATCATATTCATAGAGGAGCCTCATTTAATGCCTGGCATATATAGGAGGTACTTAGTATTAACTGAATTTATTGAATGCCCTCCATGTGCCAGATACTAAGCCACTAAACTTTTTTTTTTTTTAATAACTCTTTAGCTTTCTCTCTCTCTCTCTCTCTCTCTCGTCACTTCTTTTTTGGTTCCTGTTAAAATAAATTTCAAAAACTTTATTTTTATTGTAAAATACACAAAAAATTCACTGTCCCAGTCATCCTTAAGTGTGCAGTTCAGTGGTATTTAAATACATTCATAATGTCATAATGTTGTGCAATTATCAACACCATCCATCTCTGTAACTCTTTTCATTTTTGTAAAGCAGATACTCTATACTTATTCAACAAGACCTCTCCACCCATTTCATCCCTTCACCAGCCCGTGGCAACCAACATTCCACTTTTTGTGTCTTGAGTTTTAACTATTCTAAGTACCTCGTATAAGTGGAATCATACAATGTTTGTCTTTTTGTGGCTGTCACTTAGCATAATGTCTTCAGGGTTCATCCATATTGTAGCATATGTTAGAATTTTCTTCATTTTTAAGGCTGAATGCATGTATAAGGCTATTTTTAAGGCTATTGTATATATAATACATACCACATTTTGCTTATCCATTCATCTGTTAATGAACACTTGGGTTGCTGCCATGTTTTAACTATTGTGAATAATGTTGCTGTGAGCATGAGTGTACAGATATTTTCAAGACCCTGCTTTCAATTATTTTGGGTATATACTCAAGTGGAATTGCTAGATCCTATGGTAATTGTATGTTTCATTTTTTGAGGAACCATCATACTGTTTTTCGCAGTAGCTGTACCATTTTACATTTCCACTAACAGTCATAAGGGTTCCATTTTCTCTATCCTCACCAACATTTGTTATTTTTTTTTTAATAGCTTTGCCCATTTCTTGATTGGGTTTTTGTTGCTGCTGAGTTTTAGGAATTCTCTATATTTCTGGGTATTAACTCCTTACCAGATATATGATTTGCAAATATTTTCTCCCATTCTTTTGTTTTCTTTTCTACTGTGTTGTTAGTGTCTTTTTTTTTCCTTCTTTTGTTGTGTATGCCTTTGGTATAGTATCCAAGAAATCATTATGGAATTCAATGTCATGAAGCTCTTGCCCTCTGTTTTCTTCTAAGAGTTTTAAAGTTTTAGGTCTTACATGTAAGTCTGACCCATTTTGAGTGAATTTTTGTATATGGTGTTATGTAAGGGTCCAGTTTCTTTTGTGTGTGGATATCCAGTTTTCCTATTACCATTTCTTGAAAGACTGTCTTTTCCCCATTGAATGGTGTTGACACCTTGTCAAAAATCATTTTGACTATATATGTGTGTATTGCTGGGTTCTCTGTTCTGTTCCATTGGTCTTTATGCCAGAACACTGTCTGACTGTAGCAGCTCTGTAGTAAGTTTTGAAATCAGGAAGTGTGAGTCTTCCAGCTTTGCTGTTCTTTTTCAGGATAGTTTTGGCTATTCACAGTCCCATGAGCTTCCATATAAATTTTAGGATGGGATTTTTTATTTCTGCAAAAAAAGTCATTGAGATTTTTGATATGGATTACATTGAATCTGTAGATTGCTTTGACATCTTAACAATATTGTCTTGCAGTCCATGAATATGAGATGCATTTCTGTTTATTTATGTCTTCTTTAATTTCTTCAGCAATGTTTTTTAGTTTTCATTGTACAAGTTTTTCATCTGTAATTAATTTATTCCTGAGTAGTTTATTCTTTTAGATCTCATTGAAAAATGGAATTGTTATTGTAATTTCCCTTTTAGATTGTTCATTGTTTGTATATAGAAATGTGACTGAATTTTGACTTTGTATCCTACTACTTTGCTGAATTCATTTATTCTAACAGTTTTTCTGTGAGTAATCTTTAGGGATTTTTATGTATGAGATTATATCTGTGAACAGAGATAAATTTACTTCTCCCTTTTTAGTTTGGATGCCTTTTATTTCTCTTTCTTGCCTAATTGCTCTGGCTAGGACTTCCAGTACTGTGTTGAATAGAAGTGGTGAAAGCGGACATCTTTGCTTTGTTCCTGATCTTAGAGGAAAAGCTTTCAGTCTTTCACCACTGAATATGAGGTTCACTATGGGATTTTCTTACATGGCTTTTGTTATGTTGAAGTAGTTTCCTTCTATTCCTAATTTGTTGAGTGTTTTTATCATGAAAGGTGTTGACTTCTGTTGAATACTTTTTCTGTGTCAGTTGAGATGATCATGTGGGTTTTTATCCCCTTCATTCTGTTAATGTGGTATATTACACTGGTCAGTTTTCATATGTTGAACTGTTCTTGTATTCCAGGAATAAATCTCACTTGGTCATGCATGGTGTGCATAATGCTTCTATCATGTTACTGAATTCATTTTGCTATTGTCTTGAGAATTTTTGCATCAAGGTTCATAAGGGATATTGGTCTGTAGTTTTAGTTCTTTAAATGTTTGGTAGAATTCACCCATGAAGCTATCAGATCCAGGGATTTTCTTTGTACAGGAAATTTTTGATTAAGTATTCAATCTTCTTATTCGTTATAGGTCTATTCAGATTTTTGTCTTTCTTCATGATTCAGTCTGTGTTGATTTTGTGTTTCTAGGAATTTGTTTCATCTAAGTTGTCCAGTTTGTTGGTATACAGTTGTTCAAAGAACTCTCTTATCCTTTTTATTTCTGTAGAATCAATAGTAATGTCACCACTTTCAATTCTCATTTTAGTAATTTGAGTCCTTTTTTCTTAGTCCATTTAGTTAAAGGTTTGTCAGCTTCGTTGATTTTTTTTCAAAGAACCAACTTTTGGTGTTAAAGATTTTTCTCTAATGTTTTTATGTTCTCTATTTCATTTATCTCTGCTCTAATCTTTATTATTTCTTCCTTTCTGTTAGCTTTGGGTTTGGTTTCTTCTTCTTTTTTAGGTCTGTTTTTTAATGTAAGTCTTTATAGCTATAAATTTCCCCCTTAACACTGCTTTTGCTGTTTCCTGTAAGCTTTGGTATGTTGTATTTTTGTTTTCCTTCATCTCTAAGTATGTTCTAATTCCCCTTGTAATTTCTTCTTTAATCCATTGGTTAAGTGTGTGTTGTTTAATTTCCACAGATCTGATAATTTTCCATTTTTACTTCTGTTTTTGATTTCTGACTTCATCCTGCTGTGGTCAGAGAAGATACTTTGTATGGTACCTATCACTTAAAATCTATTGAGACTTGATTTATAGCCTAACATATGGTCTGTTCTGGAAAATGTCCCATGTGCACTTGAGAAGAATGTGTTTGCTGTTGTTGTTGGGTAGAATGTTCTATATATGCCTGTTAGATCAGGTGGATTTATTGTGTTAAATCCTCTATTTGCTTATCTTCTGTCTGGTTAATTCTATCCATTATTGAGATAATGGGTATTTAAGTCTCCAACTGTAATTGTAGAGCTGTTTATTTCTCCTTTCAGTTCTGCCAGTTTTTGCTTCATATGTTTTGCAGCATGTTATTAGGTGCATAAATGTTTGTAATTGTTCTGTCTTCTTGCTGTATTGCACCTTTTGTTGATATATAATGTCCTTCTTTGCAAGAAGACATCTCTTGTAACACTTTTTGATTTAAAGTCTATTTTGTCTGGTATTAGTACAACAATCCCTGTTCTCCTTTGGTTACTATTTGCATGGAATATCTTTTTTCATCCTTTCACTTTCAATCTGTTTGTGTCTTTGGATCACAAAGTGAGTCTTCTATAGTCAGCATATGGTTGGGTCATGTGTTCTTATCCAATTCTGCCAATTCTGTCTTTTGATTGGAGGGCTTAATCCATTTATATTTAAAAGAATTACTGGTAAGGAGTGACTTCTGTATTTTGCTATTTCTTTGCTGTGGCTTGTAGCTTTTTTGTCCCTTATTTCCTGCATTACTGTCTTAGTTTGTGTTTAGTTGATTTTTTGTAGTGAAATGTTGAAATTCCTTTCTCATTTCTTCTTGTGTATGTTCTGTAGCTCTTTGTGGTTACCTTGGGGATTGCATTTAACATACTAAAGTTACTACACTCTAATTTAAA